CGCACCACCATGCCCAGCTAATTTTTTGTATTTTTAGTAGAGACGGGGTTTCACCATGTTGACCAGGATGGTCTCGATCTCTTGACCTCGTGATCCACCCGCCTCCGCCTCCCACAGTGCTGGGATTACAGGCTTGAGCCACCGCGCCCGGCCACCATTGAAGGGTTTTTATTGCTCAATTTTTTTTCATAGAATGAAACTGCCAACTCTTGGTACTTACCTCACCTTTTTATCAGGAGTCTCATCTCCCGTATGGGCAAGCTCTCTGAGCTCCCCCATTGCAAAGAAGACAAGTTGATGTTCAGTGAATTGCCCAAGAGCATAGGAGTTGAGAATTCCCTTGGATTAGAATCCTAATTTCCTGAAAACTAGTCCTGGTGGCTCTGTATGAAAGTCACATTGCCGCAGTTCCTTCAATTTAGAGCTCTTCCCTCCACCCTGTTCTCAAAGAACTTATGGACGTGGCAATATCTGTTGCCAATTAATTGGTACATGAGCATATTTAAAAAAGTAACACGTGAGTTCTCCCTGAAAGCCATCACTTTTGACTTTTTTAGCTATTTCACCAGGTACTTGCCTCCATATTTCAAAATAGGATTGTATGCCTTTTTCTTGGATTTCTGAAGTTGAGCTGCCAGACTTTCCATTGAGAATCATACCACACTGACTTCCCTCTCCTCACCTCAAATCATGTTGAGGGTTTTTCTTATGAGGGTGTACTACTATTGCATTCCTAAACAACATTCCTGGGGGATGATACTGCTTTTTTTAATTTTTGAGACTGTCTCGCTCTGTCGCCTAGGCTAGAGTGAGGTGTGAGGTGGCACAAATCAGTTCACTGGAGCTCCTTGAGCTCCAGCTAATAGAATTAGCTGGGCATGGTAGCTGACATCTGTATCCCCACCTACTGCAATGACTGCGCTGGGAATAACCATTTCCTGTGCTCTGCTGTCTCCCCTTAAAAAAAGAAATCCTCGTTTCGTAGCCGAAATATCTTTTATTAGAAGATGTTAGTTATAGAATACTTTTTGAGACCATTTTGTTCCGTTTTCCATTTCCTTCAAATTCCAAACAAAAATGTTGGAAAATGCTGTTTGTGAGGCTCACACCAGGGGGATGCAGAATGTTGGTATCTCCAAGACATTTCTCTAGGGTCTCTCATCTACTCATTTCTTCAGAGAAAAATAAGGTTTGGGGGAGAGAGTGATAGGGAGTGGTAGAGGAGTGCTTTCATTATGGGAGGGGCAGAGAAGTGGATACTGGTATTGCACTATTCAGTAGGAAAACATGATGGCACCTCTCATACTTTGTTAGGCTCTGTGTCTGGAATCCCTCTGATGCCCTATCTTCAGCTTCTTAAACTAGTCTTCTGCCTGAACAATTTACATTTTCAATCCTGCCTCCCCTTCTTTCTACCTCCAAGGCACCTGAAGCCTCCTGGGGTCCTGCTTTGTGAATCACTGGCTAAATAGCCCCTTCTACAGGCAGTTTGCTCAGCTCTCCTGACACCTCCATCTGCAGAGAAGGTGTCAGGAGGTAACCTCTCTATGGCTCACTTATCCGTAAAATATACTTAATATCCACCTTTTAGGTTGTTTAGAGGATTGAAAAATGTGTAAAACACTTAGAACAATATCTGCCACGTTGTAAGGACTGAATAAGTTATTGCTCTTGTCCTCCAAAAATGTTGGTAGAACGTGTTGCAGTCATCTCTTGTTCTTTCTGTCTTTGTGGGTTTATTTCCTTTGTCATTGCTTTACTGTTATTTAAGATTTGGAGAAGGAGCAGGATACACAGGATTAATTACAACTGGAAGTCGTCTTTAATATTTTAAATTAGCTTTATTATAGCCCTAATCTTTCTGGGTGACTTTGGACACTCTACTAGGCTAACATGAATATCCCAGCTCCTAGGAAGCTATGCAATCATTTCTCCTCTTCAGAAAAACAGCACACGTTGTGTGGAGGGCCCAGGACAATGCAGTGGAAGTGCTTTGGTTCGGAGGCAGAAGTCCCAGCGGCAGTACTTCTCAGCTGTCAACAATGACAAGCTTCTCCAGCGTTTCTTCTGCTAAAATGAGCCCCCAAAATGCCTAGGACTCGGTTGCGATCCAGTGGCCGACGCCCCCAGTGGAAGTGAGAACCCAGCCTGCGAGCTAGGTCCCTGCTTCTTCCTGGAGCCAGGTGGGTGCGCACTTCCAGGTTCACCCGACGGCGCCCGCGGGAAAAGCCAGGTGCCCTCAACAAACATGGACGTCGCGCCAGCGTCAACCCCGCTCTGGAGGCCGCGCTGCCGCTTGGGAATCTCAGGTTTGGCGTCACTCGGCCCGGAACCACGTGACGCAAGAGGCGCCCGAGGCGGCTGGGCTCGCGCGGGTGGAGCCGCCTCCGCGTTCGAGCGGGGTGGGGGCTGCCCGGTTGAGGTTTCCCGGCGGGTCCTGGCCTTTGCGTGCACGCGCTTGCGTGCTCGCGCTCGCGGTTCTGGGCGCTGCGGGTGAGGAGCCGGGGAGCGAGGCGGGGAGGCTGGGAGCGGGGCGCCCCTTGTGAGACTAGAGGGGGTTGGGCCGGGCTGGGCGGGTGGGAAGGGGGTCGGCCGCGCACTCTCCGCGCCTCGCCCCTGAGTCGCGGCGCTAGCCGTGGGGGCTTTTCGCCCGGCCCCTCTAGTCAGGGCCCGGCTGTGCAGATAGCCTGGCAGGGCCTAGGGCCCGCAGCCCACCGGGAAGGCCCCGCTGGCCTCTGGCCCGCCCACCCGGCAGCCTGCTCTGTGGGCGCCTACACGGCCGCCGCGGGGTGCAGCTTGGAGTTTAGTTTCATCTTCGGGCTTTTCCTTCAGAGTCGGAGTGGTGGTGGGATGCAAGTTGGTGGTCGTCTTCGGTCTTTTTAAATAGTCTGGGTTGACGTCAAATGCAGAAGTGAGGCAGTATTTTTTTTTTTCTTTTTTTTTTGCCGTGAGTACCCCAAGCCTGGAGGAAAATTATGAGGCAACCGGTTAAAGGAGACCAACCCCGGAAGGAGTAAAAGGTTAGGGAGGCTGAAGTGCTCAGTTTAGGACAGACACTTGGTTTGGACAGTTTGTGTGTATTTTTGTTTTCAGCATTTTTACCTTGACTTTCCAAGCCTTCTATTAAAATTTCTCAGCAGTTAGACCGCTGATAGACATAAAGGAATTATTTATATAGCAGATTGCCCAAATCTTGCATTTTATCCTAACCTAGGACATGCCGTGTCCCCATGGCTTTCAAGCTGAAGAAATGAAGGTCTAAAGTGTCAGACATACCTGAAGAAGAGTTCAAAAGTATGGCCGCCATCCTTTCCTTAGCTATCAGAGGTGAGAGTCACACCAAAATGAGACATACGCAAGCCCAGGTTCTAGACTCAGCCTTCATAAGCTGTCTTGCTAGATTGAAGTTTTTAATCATCAGTGAAGAATTGATTGTCATAATTTTAGCAGGCTACTCAAATTTGCCTTGTTTCTTTCCCTAGGAAAGGAATAATGCTGACAGCATGTCTGCACATTCCATGCTCTGTGAACGAATCACCATAGCCAAGGAACTGATCAAGAGAGCAGAATCACTTTCTAGATCAAGAAAAGGTGGCATAGAAGGTGGTGCAAAGCTGTGCAGCAAATTGAAGGCAGAATTAAAATTCTTACAGAAAGTAGAAGCTGGGAAAGTAGCTATTAAAGAATCTCATTTACAGAGCACTAACCTAACACACCTGAGAGCCATTGTGGAATCAGCAGAAAACCTGGAAGAAGTTGTTAGTGTTCTTCACGTCTTTGGTTACACAGATACCTTGGGAGAAAAGCAGACTCTTGTGGTAGATGTAGTTGCAAATGGTGGTCATACTTGGGTGAAAGCCATTGGCCGGAAGGCTGAAGCTCTTCATAACATCTGGCTGGGCAGGGGCCAGTATGGTGACAAAAGCATCATTGAGCAGGCCGAAGACTTCCTCCAGGCCAGTCACCAGCAGCCCGTGCAATATAGCAACCCTCACATCATCTTTGCATTTTACAACAGTGTCTCCAGTCCCATGGCAGAGAAGCTGAAAGAAATGGGCATATCTGTGAGAGGAGACATAGTAGCAGTCAACTCTCTGTTAGATCACCCTGAAGAGCTCCAACCGAGTGAATCAGATGATGAGGGCCCTGAACTTTTGCAGGTGACCAGAGTAGATCGAGAAAATATACTAGCAAGTGTTGCATTTCCAACAGAAATTAAGGTCGATGTGTGCAGAAGAGTAAATCTGGACATTACTACTTTAATCACATATGTATCTGCCCTCAGCTATGGAGGCTGCCACTTTATTTTCAAAGAAAAAGTGCTCACAGAACAAGCAGAGCAAGAGAGGAAAGAGCAGGTTCTACCTCAGCTGGAGGCCTTTATGAAGGACAAGGAGTTGTTTGCTTGTGAATCTGCTGTCAAGGACTTTCAGTCTATTTTAGATACCTTAGGAGGACCTGGGGAGAGAGAGAGGGCCACTATGTTAATTAAGCGAATTAATGTAGTATCAGACCAGCCTTCTGAGCGTGCCTTGAGACTAGTGGCCAGCTCAAAAATTAATAGCCGCTCATTAACAATTTTTGGGACAGGAGACACCCTAAAAGCCATCACAATGACTGCTAATAGTGGTTTTGTCAGAGCTGCAAACAACCAGGGTGTTAAATTTAGTGTGTTTATCCATCAGCCCAGGGCACTTACTGAGAGTAAAGAGGCTCTAGCCACCCCCTTACTAAAAGGCTACACAACTGACAGTGAACAATAAAGATGCCCTTTAAATGTTGTGGAAGTAAGTTATTTATACCAAAGGCTGGCTCTTCCCATCTACACTGAGGGAAAAAAGGTCTATAGTAAAAGTAAAACATAGAACTCTTAAACCAGTAGAGTTTCTTTGTGTCTCATCTAAAGTATGTAACTCCCCAAAGTAGAAAAAGCACAAGAGACAAGCTTATCTATCAAACTGTCTACATTAGTACAAGTAAGAACAGAAATACGTCTATATAAAGCTTTCAGCTGTATTGTAATACTTTGATTCGGTAGGGCTACAACTCCCCTGCTGGTAACCACGTTTCATGGAATATGGCTACATTGCATCTTGCATTAAATATCTGGAGAAAACTAAAGTCTGCTTTTCATTGTATTGCTTTATATGGTTTAGGCTGGGAGGTAGTCGTTTATAGTTAATTTTAGATTCTAAAGTTAATAACCACTAATGAAAAACTTAGTTGATTGCTATATATCAGGTGCAGTCTGATAGGTGTATTTACAAAAAGTGAATTATGGTTATCTGAGTGCCATGAACCCATTGGTATACTTTTGTGAAAAGAAAGCCAACAATCTTACTACTATAATATAGAACATTTAAGGTAAAATACTAATTTGAATGAATTGAAAAAGGACTATGTAAAAGAGTTTAAAAATTCAAATTTTATTTTTAAATACAAAGAGCCCCCATACTGCAAGTATTTGAACAATGAACACTGTCTTTCATGTTTCATTTGCAAGTGGCAAGTGACAAATGCATTACCTCACTTTCATGAGATAGTGACAGGATATTCCATGCCAATTGCGTGACACAAGTTGTGGTTAAAAATACACTTTAATGGCTACATTGCACTAGATACTTTATCAGTTTTCAGTAAAGCAAAACTAATTAGCAAAGTTGATAGGTATTCACCACACTTAAAAATTTGGAATTTGATTCTTGGAGCTTAAATATTATGCTTAGTGTAGGAGCTGGTTTTAATACTTGATGTTTGTAGCCACAGCCTGATCTTCTATCATGCCAAATGTCCTATTTGTGTGAAGAGAATCTCAATTTACAGCCACAGTGTTTGTTGAGGGGGTGGAATTTCGTTATTGGCATTCATGAACACCCTGAAATGAATGCAAAGTTAAGTGTATGGGGGTGGTTCTCTGGGGAGAGATTGTTTTACTAAGTCAGAATACATTTCCTAGCAGAAAGGCTGTAATTTGCTTCCAATTTAGTGTAGAGTGGTATATTGTCTAGTGTTAGAAATTGAATTTAAGCTTTTTGAACACCTATTAAGGTCATGTGCTTCATACTACTATTAAGTACCAAGCATTATAATAGTTTGGTATGAAAAGATGAATATTTGCTCTAAGGAATTCTTAAGTCTAACATGGAAGTAAACAACTGAAGTGCAATTAAATTTACTAAATTCTCTAGCTTATGTTGAAAATACTATGGGGACAGAGTAAAGGAATACTTACTATGGGGTCAGGAAGTCAGAGAGGAAGTGACATTTTGAGGGCTTGGGGTGTGAAATTTCACAAGTTGTGTGAGAAAGGGTACCCAAAAGTACATGGGGGAGTGGGGTTGGAAAAGAACACAGCTGTGAATATGAGGACCTGTTCAGGGACCAGGCTCAAGTGGACAGTTTATAAAACGAGGTGGAGCTAGAAAAATAGTTGCTCTTCAAAGAGTTTGGCATTAGAGAGCAATTGGTAATTTTTAAGAAAGAGTGGCTTATGATCAGATCTCTTAAGGAAAACTCAAAAATCTGTAGTGTGGAGAAAGAAGGAAGGAACGGTTGGACTATGACCTTAGCTAGAGCAGGAATGATGGACTGTAGAGTCATAGATACATGTTGGATTTGTTTGAGGCAGAATTGACATTAATGTACTCATTCATTAATAAGCATTGAGTGACAGCCATGTGCCAGACACAGTACAAAAGGAAGGACATATAAAAGACTTGTTTTCAAGGAGTAGCAGGAAGAAGTTAGATTTCTATCCCTGCTCTCTATGAATCAATCAGTACTAAGAACTTGGGATCTTTGCCAACTAGAAAGTGGACAGGTCACAGCACTCTTTGAGGAAACTGCTATGCGAAGCGGCCACAGATGTGGCCCTGCCAAAGACTATGATGTTCTTCCTAGCATTCTAGTGATTGCAGTTCCTAACAATATAATAAATAATGCAAGCAATAGATATGCGCAAATAGGAGGGCACTGGATCCTGGAATGTAAGAAATGGCATCTCCCCTAGAAACCACACACATGACCTACACCCGAGGTCTATTCTTACTGGCCAGAACATTCCTTTCATGAAGGTAAAAAAATGAAACAAAGGCTGGACGCGGTGGCTCATGCCTGTAATCCCAGCACTTTGGGAGGCCGAGGCGGGCAGATCACCTGAGGTCAGGAGTTCAATACCAGCCTGGCCAATGTGGTGAAACCCTGTCTCTACTAAAATTACAAAAATTAGCCAGGCATGGTGGTGGGTGCCTATAATCCCAGCTACTCAGGAGGCTGAGGCAGGAGAAAGAATCGCTTGAACCTAGGAAGTAGAGGCTGCAGTAAGCCGAGAGCAAGGCATCGTCTCAAAAAAAGAAAAA